GCCTGGTCAACATGGTGAAATCCTGTCACTACTAAAAATACAAAAGTTAGCCAGGTGTGGTGGTGGGCACCAGTAATCCCAATTACTTGGGAGGCTGAGGCAAGAGACTTGCTTGAACCCAGAAGGTGGCGGTTGCAGTGAGCTGAGATGGCGCCACTGCACTCCAGCCTGGGCGACAGACTGAGACTGTCTCAAAAATAGAATAAAATAAAATAAAATAACTAGTATGACTAAAATGTAGAAAGAGTGGGGAGCAATAGAAAAATATACGAATTGGCTGGGCGCAGTGGCTCACGCCTGTAATCCCAGCACTTTGAGAAGCCCAGCCTGGCTAACATGGTGAAACCTCATCTCTACTAAAAATACAAAAGTTAGCTGGGCATGGTGTCACATGCCCATAGTCTCAGCTACTTGGGAGGCTGAAGCACGAGAATCGCTTAAACCCGGGAGGCAGAGCTTGCAATGAGCCGAGGCCGCACCACTGCACTCCAGCCTGGGTGACAGAGCGAGACTCCATCTCAAAAAAGAAAAATATATAAACTGAAGCACAGACAGGAAAAAGAAAAATCAGTAAAAAGCATAAGAGACATATGGAATACAGAGAAAAGACCAAACGCACATGTAACCTAAGTCCTAAAAAGCGAGCAGAGTGGATGAAGCAGCAGCAGTGTTTTCAAAGAGAACAGCCACCGCTGGGGCCCCGAGCTTCATTTCTAATGCCATTCTCCAACACACTGAACAGGGGCTCCTTGGAGAAACGGCTGAATTCTAGGGCTGGGGCAGGGAATGAACACAATGGAGCTTCTTATAGTGCTAGAAAGTAAGGAAGTGCTCAAAGAAACCCACAAGAGTAGAGTCAGTGGGACACAGGAATCCACTGAAAGCTCTCAGGGGCCAAAGCCGGACCCTCACCGGCTCCCCCAACCCACCGAGCCGTCTTTAAAAACTCTGCTCCTCAAATGCTGGGGAGGCCGATGCGTGAATTACTCTTTCTCCATTGCGATTCCTCTGAATCCGCTCTGTCTAGGCAGAGGGCAAGGTGAACCCACTGCGCAGTTATAGAAAGAGTAACTTACAGTGATGAAACCTGAAAAGCACTACCTCAGGCAGGTAGTCAAAGTTCACATGAACAGTGATATGTCGTGCTGACAGTATGTACCATTGATATGATATGACGAGAATGGCATTTGACCTCTGTGATCTTCCTTCCAGAAACCTGTAACCCCAGACTAATCATCAGCAGAAAAATCCCAATGGAGGAACATTCTACAAAATACCTAACTAGTGCTCCTCAAAAATGTCAAGGTGATGCAAAGCAAGAAAGTCTGAGAAACTGTTACAGCCAAGAAGAGCCTAAAGAGACATTTAATGCGGCATCCTAGACAGAATCCTAAAGCAGAAAAAGGACGTTAGGAAAAAAACTAAAGAAATCAGAACAAGGTTTTATTTGATAACACTGTATCAACATTGGTTCATTGATTTTAACAAATGTTCCACACTATGTAGATGGTAACAACAGGGACTGCTATTGGTTCATTCATTTTAACAAATGCTCCATTCGATGGAGATGTTAACAATAGGAAGTCCAGGTGCGGCAGACCATGCCTGTAACCCCAGTGTTTTGGGAAGCCGAGGCAGGAGGACTGGTTAAGCCCAAGAGATCAAAGCTGCAGTGAGCCACGATGGCACCACTGCACTCCAGCGTGGGTGACAGAGCAAGAACCGTCTCAATAACGTAATTATCATTCTTATAGTAATAGGGGAAACTGGGTGTGGAGTACATTCTGGGTGTGGAGTACATGCAAACGCTGCAAATTTTCTATAAATCTAAAACTATTTTAAAATAAAAACTTAATTTTTTATTTTTTTTTATTTTTTTTTTTTGAGACAGAGTCTCACTCTGTTCCCCAGGCTGGAGTGCAGTGATGTGATCTCAGCTCACTGCAACCTCCACCTCCCAGGTTCAAGCAATTCTCCTCCCTCAGCCTCCCAAGTGGCTGGGGTTACAGGTGCTCACCACCACGCCCGGCTAATTTTTTGTAATTTTAGTAGAGATGGGGTTTCGCCATCGGGTTGGCCAGGCTGGTCTCGAACTCCTGACCTCAAGTGATCCAGCCACCTCAGTCTCCCAAAGTGCTGGGATTACTGGTGTGAGCCACCGCACATGGCCAAAAACAATTTTTTTTTTTTTTTTGAGACAGAGTCTCGCTCTGTCGCCCAGGCTAGAGTGCAGTGGCGCCATCTCCACTCACTGCAAGCTCTGCCTCCCGGGTTCACGACATTCTCCTGCCTCAGCCTCCCGAGTAGCTGGGACTACAGGCACCCACCAACATGCCTGGCTAATTTTTTGTATTTTTAGTAGAGATGGGGTTTCACTGTGTTAGCCAGGATGGTCTCGATCTCCTGACCTCGTGATCCGCCCGCCTCGGCCTCCCAAAGTGCTGGGATTACAGGAGTGAGCCACCACGCCCGGCCTAAAAACTATTTTTTTTAAACAAAGGCAATGGCTAAGAATTTTCCCAAACTGATAAAAAAAAATCAACCTGGTTGGGTGCAGTGGCTCACACCTGTAATCCCAGGACTTTGGAAGGCCAAGCATGGTGCTGGGCACCTATAATCCCAGCTACTTGAGAGGCTGAGGAAGGAGAATCTCTTGAAACCAGGAGGCAGAGCGTGCAGTGAGCCAAGATCGCACCACTGCACTCCAGCCTGGGCGACAAGAGCAAAACTCCATCTCAAAAACAAAACAAAATCAACCCATAGATTCAAGAGACTCTGAGAGCTCCAAGCAGAATAAATATAAAGAAAGTAATAGTGGCTAGAGAGAACACATCATCTTCAATTGAATAATAAAACTTACAGCTGACTTATGAACAGAAACAATGGAAACTAGAAGACAATGTAATCACTTATCTACCTACCTGCCTACCTATCTATCTATCTATCTGAGGCAGGGTCTCACTCTGTCACCCAGGCTGGAGTTCAGTGGCACAATCACGGCTCACTGCAGTCTCAACCCTCCCGGGTTGAGGACCTCAAGCCGTCCTCCCACCTCAGCCTCTCAAGTAGCTGGGACCACAGGCGTGTGCCACCATGCCCAGCTAATTTTTGTATTTTTTTGTAGAGATAGGGTTTTGCTGTGTTGCCCAGGCTGGTCTGGAACTTCTGGGCTCAAGTGATCCTCCTGTCTCAGCTTCCCAAAGTGCTGGGATGACAGGTGTGAGCCACCATGCCCGGCCTTTATAACAGATGGATCCAGCTGATAGTATCTGAACTCCACGATCAACCTTAACCAGGTAAAAAGAGATGACCAGCTGTTTTGTACCTCCTGAGAAGATGCAATAAGATGACAGAAAACAGTCTTTCCCCAACCTCAAACCTATGGCTAATTAAGACTAGACCTAACTACTTATTTTCAAGAAGTACAGGAAATAGAAGACATACTAAACAATACCATAGGTATATAAATCAGCAAATGCCAGAATATAGGAAACTCTACAGGACAAACAAACCAATTTCTTCAACAAATAAATGGCAGGAAAATAAATAAATAAATAAATAAATAAATGACTGGGCATGGTGACTCACACCTGCAATCCCAGCACTTTGGGAGGCCAAGGTGGGTGGATCACCTGAGGTCAGGGGTTCGAGACCAACCTGGTCAACATGGTGAAACCCCATCTCTACTAAAAATACAAAAATTACCCGGGCGTGGTGGTGAGCACCTGTAATCCCAGCTACTCGGGAGGCTGAGGCAGGAGAATCACTTGAACCTGGCAGGCAGAGGTTGCAGTGAGCCAAGATCATGCCACTGCACTCCAGCCTGGGTGAGGAAGCAAGACTCCGTCATAAAAATAAAATTAAATGGCAGGATTAAAAGAGGAAAGAGAGAAATGAGGCAGCAAAAATGACAGATTAAAGTAAATTTAAAGCCAGATGCCATGGTGTGCACCTATAGTCCCAGCTACCTGGCAGGCTGAGGTGGGAGGACCACTTGAGCCAAGGAGTTCTAGTCTGTAGTGTGTTATGATCACGTCTGTGAATAGCCACTGCACTCCAGCCTGGGCAATACAGCAAGATCCTATGTCTTAAAAAAAAAAAATCATAATTTACATATTAACCAAATGCAATGTGTAGACCTTATTTGAATCTTAATTTGAAAAAATTGTAAAAAAGAAAATAATAGGTCTGGCATGTTGGGTCAAACCTGTAATTCCACCATTTTAGGAGGCCAAGGCCGGTGAACTGCCTGAGCCCAGGAGTTCAAGACCAGACTGGCCAACAGAGTGTGACCCATCTCTGCAAAAAAATAAATAGAAAATTAGCCAGGTGTGGTGGTGCACATCTGCAGTCCCAGCTACTCAGGAGGCTGAGGTGGGAGGATCACTTGAGCCCAGGAGGCCAAGGCTACAATGAGCTGTGATAGTGCCACTGCACACCAGCCTGGGTGACAAAATGAGACCCTGTCTCTTTAAACAAAAAAAAAAAAGAAAAGAAAGAAAACGTATATATACATATATGAGGCAATCTAGGATATCTGAACAATAACGGCATATTTTATGATATTAAGGACTGACAATATTTTAGAGATAATAAAGATATTTTACTTATGTATTTTTGAGACAGAGTCTCACTTTGTCACCCAGGCTGGAGTGCAATGGCATGATCTTGGCTCACTGCAACCTCTGCCTCCTGGGTTCAAGCAATTCTCTTGCCTCAGCCTCCTGAGTAGCTGGGATTACAGGTGTGTGCCATCACACCCAGCTAATTTTTGTATTTTTAGTAAAGACGGGGTTTCACCATGTTGGCCAGGCTGGTCTTGAACTCCTGACCTCAGGTGATCCGCCCGCCTCAGCCTCCCAAAGTGCTGGGATTACAGGTGTGACCCACCGCACCAGGCCCCCCTCACTCTTATAAAGACACTCTTACTGAATTGTCAAAAGGACAGATACCTCGTAATATAGATGAATAAAACAAGAAGGAAAAATCCAGCTACTCACAATACTCCTTCACCTCTTTGTTCTCCAATCACTACTTGCACCACCATTTTGTATCGGTCAAATCCCATTTCTAGAAAGAAAAAATAAGGTTGTTTATAAGCAAATATGTAGTAAAATTACTTATTGAAGACAACTTTGCCTAGAAATGGACAAAAACATTCAATCCACAAGTACTTAATGAATATGATGGTAAGCCTGGGAGTCAGGAAGACATGAAGACAGACCCTAACTGTAACTCACCAGGTGTATAACCTTAGAAAGTGATTTAACTTTCCAGTTTAAGTCCCCTCATTAAACGGGAATATCAGTACCTACCTCCCAGGGTTGTTACAAGGTTAGATAAGATATAGTAGTATCTTTGTATTTATTTTTTTGAGATGGATTCTCGCTCTGTTGCCCAGGCTGGAGTGCAGTGGCGAGATCTCGGCTCACCGCAACCTCTGTCTCCCGGGTTCAAGTGATTCTCCTACCTCAGCCTCCTCAGTAGCTGGGACTACAGGTATGCGCCACCACACCCGGCTAATTTTTGTATTTTTAGTAGAAAAGGCGTTTCACCATGTTGCCCAGGCTGGTCTCGAACTCCTGACCTCAGGTGATCCACTCACCTTGGCCTCCCAAAGTGCTGGGATTACAGGCATGAGCCACTGCGCCTGACCAGATATAGTAATCTAAAGCATCTAAACAGTGCTGTTAAATACTAGTCCCTCAATAAACCTCCTTCCTTCCTTTTTCCCCTACTGTAAATCAGCTACTGAGCTGAACCATACTAGTCCCTCAATAAACCTCCCTCCTTCCTTTCCCTGCTGTAAGTCAGCTACTGAGCTGAACCTTCAAGACAGAGAAATAAAGACGACGTTTTTCTCGCCTTAAAGAACTCACAGTAGTAAAGAACTCAAAGGACAATAGAAAAATAGGCCCGGCACGGTGGCTCACGCCTGTAATCTCAGCACTCTCGGAGGCCGAGGCCGGTGGATCACCTGAGGCCAGGAGTTTGAGACCAGCCTGGCCAACGTGGTTAAACCCTGTCTCTATTAAAAAATATAAACATTAGCCAGGCATGGTGGCAGGTGCCTGTAATCCCGGCTACTTGGGAGGCTGAGGCAGAAGAATTTCTTGAACCTGGGAGGCAGAGGTTGCAGTGAGCCAAGATCGCACCACTGCTCTCCAGTCTGGGCGACAAGGGCAAAACTCCACCTCCAAAAAGAAGAAAGAAAAAGAAAAGGAAATAGAAAAATAAATTGAGAATGCAATATGCTTATAATTCAAGGAGTGGCATGCATGATGTACACCAGGAACACAGAGCCAGTGGGGGCAGTTCCTCTGCCTGGGCAGTGGCAAGAAATCACTGGAGAAGACTTCTTGGAGGATGTGGCCGGCCAATAAGCTGAGCCTTGAGTGAGAGGGGACCAGGTCAGCCCCATCTCTCCGCACGCCTGAGACGGAGGGGCGCGTGCACAGCAGGAAGGGTCAGCCCCATCTCTCTGCAGGCCTGAGACAGAGGGGCGCGTGCACAGCAGGAAGGGTCAGCCCCATCTCTCCGCACGCCTGAGACGGAGGGGCGCGTGCACAGCAGGAAGGCATGGGATCGCCAGAAAACTGTAAGCTGTTCGGTCAGACAGACAAGAAAAAAATGAAGATTCCAGAGCAAAATGAGGTGATCCAGCACCATGTAGCTGTTTACCCCAGAAACTACATTCTAAAGCAGCAAAATCCTGAAAATTATCACTAACAGCAACTCTGAAGAGAAAAAAACGGAATGGGCATTTTTAAATCTTTCTACTTTTTTGACCAAGGAATAGTGGAAAGTTTTTTTAAACAAAAAAAAAAAAAGTGAAATAAGCGAAGCTGAAACAGAGCCAGCTCTCTCTGATGAATATACAGGTTCCAAGATTCCATTGTAAACTGGACCATCTGAAGACTACAGCGATCTCCCATGTGGGGCATGAGCCTAATACAGAGTGTTTAACAAAATCCTAAAAGACAGAGTCCAAGTAGTTTTTGAAAAACACTGCACACAACTCAGCGGAGCTTCCTCCTTTCTCTCACCAATTCCGAATCCTACAGAAATGTGTCTAGAATAATAAATACCCAACCCTTAAATCACAGTTCTGAGGGGAAAATCTGAGTCTCAGATATGGTGGGGAGAGGAACTTAAAAAAAAACCCACATCATATCACAGCAATTAAAAATCCCATCATATCAGAGCAATTAAAAATCCCCCACATCATATCACAGCAATTAAAAATACCCCCATCATATCACAGCAATTAAAAATCCCCCCATCATATCAGAGCAATTAAAAATCCCCACATCATATCAGAGCAATTAAAAATCCCCCCATCATATCACAGCAATTAAAAATACCCCCCATCATATCAGAGCAATTAAAAATCCCCCCATCATATCACAGCAATTAAAAATCCCCCCATCATATCACAGCAATTAAAAATCCCCCCATCATATCAGAGCAATGAAAAATCCCCACATCATATCAGAGCAATGAAAAATCCCCCCATCATATCAGAGCAATGAAAAATCCCCCCCATCATATCAGAGCAATTAAAAATCCCCCCATATCACAGCAATTAAAAATCCCCCCATCATATCACAGCAATTAAAAATCCCCCCATCATATCACAGCAATTAAAAATCCCCCCCATCATATCAGAGCAATGAAAAATCCCCACATCATATCAGAGCAATGAAAAATCTCCACATCATATCAGAGCAATGAAAAATCCCCACATCATATCAGAGCAATGAAAAATCCCCACATCATATCACAGCAATTAAAAATCCCCACATCATATCACAGCAATTAAAAATCCCCCCCATCATATCACAGCAGTTAAAAATCCCCCCATCATATCACAGCAATTAAAAATCCCCCCATCATATCACAGCAATTAAAAATCCCCCCATTCATATCAGAGCAATTAAAAATCTCCCCCATCATATCAGAGCAATGAAAAATCCCCACATCGTATCAGAGCAATTATGATGTATGGCCACCACAAAATGAAATGCAGCCAAATGGCAATAAACAAAGATGCAGTCGCAAAAACAAAAGAGTAACAAAGAAGAACAAGCTACTGCTGGGTGCCGTGGCTCACGTCTGTAATCCCAGCACTTTTGGAGGCTGAGGTAGGAGGATCTCTTGAGGCCAGGAGTTCAAGACCAGCCTAGGCAGCATGACAAGACCACCATCTCCACAAAACTTTTTTTTTTTTTTGAGACAGAGTTTCACTCTTGTTGCCCAGGCTGAAGTGCAATAGCGCGATCTTAGCTCACCGCAAACTCCGCCTCCCGGGTTCAAGCAATTCTCCTGCCTCAGCCTCCCGAGTAGCTAGGATTACAGGCATGCACCACCACACCCAGTTAATTTTGTATTTTTAGTAGAGATGGGGTTTCTCCATGTTGGTCATGCTGGTCTCAAACTCCCGACCTCAGGTGATCCATCTGCCTCAGCCTCCCAAAGTGCTGGGATTACAGGCATGAGCTATCGCACCCGGTCCACAAAATAATTTTTCAAAAAATATTTAAGAAAAGAAAGAAACTTCAAGTGGAAGGAAGGGAGGGAGGGAGTTGTGTAACAGAAAAAATTTGACTGGGCACGGTGATCAACCTGGAGAAACTCCATCTCTACTAAAAGTACAACATTAGCGGGGCATGGTGGTGCAGGCCTGTAATCCCAGCTACTTGGGAGGCTGAGGCAGGAGAATCGCTTGAACCCGGGAGCCGGAGGTTGCATTGAGTCAAGATCGCACCATTGCACACCAGCCTGGGAAACAAGACCGAAACTTCGTCAAAAAAAAATTAAAAGAAAAGAAGGAAAAAAATCAACCTAGAAAATACTACAAATCAACGAACAAAGAGTTATTCCTCACATTTACTTCACAATACTAGAACAATGTAAGCTTATAAGCTCAGTGAAACAAGAACTCAATCAGGTTATGGATTTTTTTTTTTTTTTTTTTTTTTGGAGACAGAGTTTTGCTCTTGTCGCCCAGGCTGGAGCGCAATGGCGAGATCTCGGCTCACTGCAACCTCCACCTCCCAGATTCAAGCGATTCTCGTGCCTCAGCCTCCCAAGTAGCTGGGATTACAGGCACACACCACCACGCCCAGCTAAATTTTGTATTTTAGTAGAGACAGGGTTTCACTATGTTGCCCAGGCTGGTCTCGAACTCCTGACCTCAAGTGACCCACCCACCTTGGCCTCCTAAAGTGCTGGGATTACAGGTATGAGCCACCTCACCTGGCCTGTTTTGTTTCGTTTTTGTTTTTTTGGAGACAGGGTCTCCCTAAGTCGCCCAGGCTGGACTGCAGCGATGCGATCTCAATTCACTGCAACCTCCACCTTCTGGGTTCAAGCAATTCTCCTGCCTCAGTCTCCCAAGTAGCTGGGACTACAGGGGTGCACCACCACACCTGGCTAATTTTTTGTCTTTTAGTAGAGTCGAAGTTACACCATGTTGCCCAGGGTGGTTCTCGAACTCCTGAGCTCAGGCGATCCGCCCGCCTTGGCCTCCCGAAGTGCTGGGATTACAGGCGTGAGGCACCGCGCCCGGCCTCAGTCAGGTTATTAAGCAACATAAACAGATGAAAAGAAAGACCACGGCCCTGGGGAACAAACAGAACACCCAGAAAAGATCATTCCAGAACCAGTAAATTCAAATGGCAAGAAAAAAGACACAAATGAAAACAATTACTGGTTTAAGAAAATCATGAGTAAATGGCAATAGAAAAGGAAGAAGTCTGGGCAATATGGCAAAACCCCGTCTCTACAAAAAATACAAAAATTAGCCAGGCGTGGTGGCGGCGCCTGTATTCCCAGCTACTCGGGAGGTGGAGATGGGAGGACTGCTTGAGGCTGCAGTGAGCCAAGACTGCACCACTGCATTCCAGCCTGGCGGACAGAGTGAGACCCTGTCTCGAAAAAAAAGAAAGAAAGAAAAAAGAAATTATGGCAAAGAAAAACTAATAAATATAGAAGGCAAAGATGGCTTAACCTAACAATATTTGGTGTCCTGAAGACAAGGAAGTAACAAGTGGAACAGGAAACATATTCAGAGATGTAAGGAAATTTCCTTTATGTGGAAAGAATAAAGTCTGCAGATTGAAAGTTATAAAACACTCATTAGAAAGTCAGAATCTTTAGAAAAGCTACTGAGCATAAAGGTAAAGATGAGGATTCTTTATTTATTTATTATTTATTTATTTACTGAGACAGAGGCTCGCTCTGCCGCCCAGGCTGGAGTGCAGTGGCACGATCCTGGCTCACTGCAACCTCCTTCACCTCCCAAGTTCAAGCAATTCTCCTGTCTCAGCCTCCCAAGAAATCCCAGCATTTTGGGATGCTGAGACGGGTGGGTCACCTGAGGTCAGGAGTTTGAGACCAGCACACCCGGATAATTTTTGTTTTGTTTCATTTTTTTGAGACAGAGTTTCACCCTTGTTGGCCAGGCTTAAGTGCAATGGCGCGATCTCGGCTCACTGCAACCTCTGCCTCCTGGGTTCAAGCGATTCTATTGTCTCAGCCTGGGATTACAGGCATGCACCACTATGCCCGGCTAATTTTGTATCTTTAGTAGAGACAGGGTTTCTCCATGTTGGTCAGGCTGGTCTCAAACTCCCCACCTCAGGTGATCCACCCGCCTCGGCCTCCCTAAGTGCTGGGATTACAGGTGTGAGCCACCACGACTGGCCACTAAATTTTGTATTTTTAGTAGTGACGGAGTTTCACCATATTGTTCAGGGTGGTCTAAAACTCCTGACCTCAGGTAACCCAACCATCTAGGCCTCCCAAAGTGCTGGGAATACAGGCGTGAGCCACCACGTCCAGCCAAAGGTGAGGATTCCTTAAGCAGAGAACATCAAGCTGGGCTCAGATTTCTTGACAGACAAGTTACCACTGAATGTCAGAAGGCAATGAAGCACAAGAGTCAAGAAAACAAATTATTACCTCAAAAATATATTTATCCAAAGTATATTCTACTTTTTGCGGGGGGAGGCGGGGGATGGAGTCTCGCTCTGTTGCTCAGGCTGGAGTACAGTGGCACTATCTTGGCTCACTGCAGACTCTGCCTCCCAGGTTCAAGTGATTCTCCTGCCTCAGCCTCCCAAGGAGCTGGGATTACAGGTGCCCACTACCATGCCCGGCTAATTTTTGTATTTTTAGTAGAGACAAGGTTTCAGCATGTTGGCCAGGCTGGTCTCAAACTCCTGACCTCAGGTGATCCGCCCGGCTCCGCCTCCCAAAGCACCGGGATTACCAGCATGAGCCACCGCGCCTGGCCCATAGTATATTCTACTTTAAAGGCAAAAGGCAGGCGCTCTCAAACACGAAAGAACCCAGGGAAGACAGCATTTCGGAGTCCTTTCTGAAAACAACTTACGACAAGATCTCATCATCTAAGAGCTGAAATAAAGAACTCTTCCCAGCTACTTCAGAGGCTGAGGCAGGAGAATCGCTCGAGCCCGGGAGGCCGAGGCTGCAGTGATCTGAAGTCACACCACTGCCCTCCAGCCTGAGTGACAGAGAAAGACTCTGTCTCAAAAAAAAGAAAAGAAATCAAGAACTCAACCATGAAAATGACATGGTCAAGGGACTAAACAGGAGAAAACTGATCCAGTTACAGAATGAATATGATATGACTATGGGAAACAGGTCTACAATATCCCATTGCCATTTGTCCATATATATATATAAAATGTAGAAAAGAAGTCTGTTGTAATGTTCGCCTAGTTTTTTTTTTTTTTGAGACAGAGTCTCACTCTGTCGCCCAGGTTATAGCACAGTGGCATGATCTTGGCTCACTGCAATCTCTGTCCCTGGGCTCAGGTGATCCTTACACCTTAGCCACCCAAGTAGCTGGGACTACAGGTGCACACCACCAGCCTGGCTAATTTTTGTATTTTTTGTAAGAGACAGGATTTTGCCATGTTGGCCAGGACAGTCTTGAACTCCTGGGCTCAAGAGATCTGCCCGCCTCGGCCTCCAAAAGTACTGGAATTATAGGCATGAGCCACTGTGCCTGACCAATATTAATGATTGTTTATTGGTGGTGGCATTCAGGTGATTTTTCTCATTTTATTTTTCTAGTGTTTAAATTTTGTATAATGAATGTGTACCATTTTTTACAAAAAATCTTAACAATGAACCTTCATCAAAAGTCTAAAAACAAAAATGCTAATATACTAACAGCAGTTAATTCTGGGTGATGGAAATACACAGGATTGCTATTTTCTTCTTTGTACTTTTCTGTATTTTTTAATTTCTAAAACTTAAATTCAGAAAAAACAGTAAACACAAATATTAAATAGTAACTGCCTTTGGTTAATATTTTAAAACTTTAAGGGCCCAGGCGCAGTGGCTCATGTCTGTAATCCCAGCACTTTGGGAGGCCGAGGTGGATGGATCACCTGAGGTCGGGAGTTCGAGATCAGCCTGACCAACAAGGAGAAACCCCGTCTCTACTAAAAATACAAAAATTAGCCGGGCATGGTGGCACATGCCTGTAATACCAGCTACTCTGGACGCTGAGTCAGGAGAATCACTTGAACCTGGGAGATGGAGTTTGCACTGAGCTGAGATCACGCCACTGCACTCCAGCCTGGGCAACAAGAGCAAAACTCCCATCTCAAAAAAAAACTTTATGGATACTTTTTTGTATGGTCTAGGTTTATTACAATGAGCATGTATTACTTTTATGAAGATATTCCTTCCCTTCAAAAAATGGTGTCTTCCAAGAAGAGCAGATAGAAATAGGACAGGCACGGTGGCTCACACCTGTAATCCCAGCACGTTGGGAGGCCAAGGCATGCGGAACTCTTGAGGGTCAGGAGTTCAAGACCAGCCTGGCCAACATGGTGAAACCTTGTCTCTACTAAAAATACAAAATTAGCCACGTGTGGTGGCGCATGCTTGAAATTCCAGCTGCTTGGGAGGCTGAGGCAGGAGGATCACTTGAGCCCAGGAGGAGGAGGTTGCAGTGAGCTGAGATCACAACACTGCACTCCAGCCTGGGCAACAGAGTGAGACTCTGTCTCAAAAAGATTTAAAAAAAAAAGAACTTTTCAGATGGCGTAACATCATTAACAAGAGAGACCAGGTGCGGTGGCTCACGCCTGTCATTCCAGCACGTTGGGAGGCCGAGGTGGGAGAATCACTTGCGGCCAGGAGCTCAAGATCAGCCAGGGCACAGGCAAGACACCATCTCTACAAACAATTTAAAACTTAAAAAATTAGCTCAGCATGGTGACACAAGCCTGTAGACCCAGCTACTTGGGAGGCCAAGAGGGGAGGATCACTTGAGCCAGGAGGTCAAGGCTGCAGTGACCCATGTTCACGCCACTGCACTCCACCCTGGGCAAAAAAGCAAGACCCTATTTCAAAAACGAAACAAAACAGACAGAGAGACAAAGAGAACAGGGTAGGAAAAGCACAAAATATGCTCTACAGATGTAGTTTGGTAGGGTGGAGGGCTGAGTAAGGGACGTAGTTAAGGATGAGGGAGGAGGGATGGACTGCGGGTAGTGGAGGGCTGAGTAAGGGAAGTAGTTAAGGATGAGGGAGGAGAGATGGACTGCGGGTACTAAATGCCAGGCTGAGGAACTGACAGCTTGGGGGAAGAAACAACCAAGAAATAAGGGGAAAGGCGTCCCTGTACTTTCTGGCCTTTCTGAATACTAAGATTTTTTGGACAGTGGTTCCCTGTAATGTTTTATTCCACATCTTCACTTTTTCTCACCATCTGTAAAAACTTACATGAGTAAAAGTCACCAAATAATTAGAGAAGACAAGACACAGAAGAAGTTGTATTTGATAGAATCCACAGCTAACATTCTATTTAAGTTTTTATTTTTAATAGAGATGTTTAATTTTTTTAATTTTGCTTTTTTTTTTTTTTTTTTTTTGAGACAGAGTCTCACTCTGTCACCCAGGCTGGAGTGCAGTGGCACAATCTCAGCTCACTGCAACCTCCACCTCCCACGTTCAGGTGATTCTCCTGCCTCGGCCTCCCAAGTAGCTGGGACTACAGGCGCCCGCCACCACACCCAGCTATTTTTTGTACTTTTAGTAGAGATGGGGTTTCACCGTGTTAACCCAGAATGGTCTCGGTCTCCTGACCTCGTGATCCACCCGCCTCAGCCTCCCAAAGTGCTGGGATTACAGGTGTGAGCCACCGCGCCCGGCCTTTATTTTGCTTTTTAATAGACATGAGGTCGGCCAGGTGTAGTGGCTCACGTCTGTAATCCCAGCACTTTGGGAGGCCGAGGCGGGTGGATCACCTGAGGTCGGGAGTTCGAGACCAGCCTGACCAACATGGAGAAACCCTGACTCTCCTAAATATACAAAATTAGTCAGGCGTGGTGGCGCATGCCTGTAATCCCGGCTACTTGGGAGGCTGAGGCAGGAGAATCGCTAGAACCCGGGAGGCAGAGGTTGCAGTGAGCTGAGAACGCACCATTACACTCCAGCCTGGGCAACAAGAGTGAAACTCTGTCTCAAAAAAAAAAAAAAAACAAACAAACAAACGACATGAGGTCTCACCATGTTGCCCAGGCTGGTGTTGAACTCCAGAACTCACGCAATCTTCCTGCCTTGGCATGCTAAAGCGTTGGGTTTACAGGCGCCAGCCACCATACCTGGCCCCAATGTCCTTTGTTTAAAGATGGACAAGGGGGCAAATGGGTAACACTGAGTCTTTGAAGAGAATGAGTCATTTCCAGTTATCAGCATGATTACCTTTTAATTTATCTTTAATGTTTTCTGATAAATGTTTTGTGAGCTGAGGCATTTCTTCTGGAGAATATTGAGCATTTGCCAGTTCCTCCTTGAGCACAGCATGGATACAGTCTTTCACCACAGAGGGCCTGAACCTGAATGGAAAAATCTGTGAACATCTAGTCGGTGACTCCAAAACCCCAGCTTACCTTCACACCTCAACTTCTCCCATCTGTCATTAGTACCACTTAATCCTTTTTGATATTTTTTATTATAAAATATAAACAAATTAAGACAAATCATAGGCCACATGTGTATCTTCAACCTGGACCTGCACTGAACTTCAACACATTCCAACTGATGCTCCATCTGGAAGTTTATTAGGCAACTCAATACATCCAGTAATGAGCTTCTCATACTCCCCTCTCCCTCAAAACAAAATATATATTTGTTGTCAATCTTGTTCTGCACACTTTCACAAAATAAAATAAAATAAATAAAATAAAAAATACGGCAGAATGGCATTCTGAGTATTCAGAACCTTTTCCCAAGATAACTAAGCATATCTTTTTCTGTGTTCATTCTACCCAAGGGAAAATTTCTGTATGAAATTTGTATCACTTTTTCTGTGAGTTACCAAGAGAATAAAAATAAACAAAGAAATTTGTATCACATTATAATCAAAACTCCTGGTTTCCATATTTGCCAAGCATCAGATTCAGCAATCCGGTTTCAAACAACAGAGGAGACTGGATCGTGTTTTTAAATCTGTGTCCGTGAGTGTGTAAAGTGAGCGACGTTACAGACCCAGCTGAGTGCCCTCTGCTCTGGCCCGTGAGCCTTAATCCCGGGAAGGTCTCCGTGCGGTGGTCTAAGGGCCTCCGGATCCCGCCTGGTAGGACTTTGCACACATGCAGCTCCCGCGCCGGGAGGGAGCCCATCCTGGCACCCGTGCGCACACGGTAACCCTCGAATCACGGCTGAACGGCATCCCACGCGATGGCCTCCTGCCCCTATTCCACCCATCTCCTTACTCGGGACGCCATCCTGGGTTTCCCAGGGTCAACCATTCCCGCGGCGCCACCCTAAGACGCGCCCGGCGCCCCAACACTGTGGCCGCGGGTGGGGTCCCCTGCGGCGGGAGGGCCGTCCGGACGTCAGAGCCGGGCCGCCCTCCCGCCTCGCGCCCCCCGCCTCGCGCCCCCCGCCCCGCAGACCCCGCGCGTCCCCCGCGCTCCTTCCGCGGCCCAGGCCCCAGGCGAGCTCCGCCCCTCAGACCAGCGCGCTCGAGGTCGCCCCGCCACAGCCCGTCCTCTACCCGCCTCTGCTGGAAAACAGGCCGCAGAATATAGGTGTTCTCCGGCTCCGAGTTCTTCTCAGCCTCGGGCACCCCGTCGCCCACCAAGAAGGACACCCCGGTGGACGTGGCCATGGCCGGGGCTTCTCGGTCCGGGCGTCGCTCGCGACGAAGGCCTGGCGGGTTGCGGCAGCCGCCGGCAGCTGGGAAAGCGTCTCCAGGGCAACAAGGCCGCCTTCCGGCCTGGCTGAAGCCCGCGAGCGCCCCGCCCCGCCCCGCCCCGCCCCGCCCCGCCCCGGCCCGGCCCCGCCCCGCCCCGCCCCGCCCCGGCCCCGCCCCGCCGCCAGCCCGGCCCCGCCCCGCCGCCAGCCCGGCCCCGCCCCGCTCCGCCCCTCCCCGCCCCTCCCCGCCCCGCCGCCAGCCCCGCCCCGCCCTTCCCGCGCCTGCGCACCGGCTGCTGGGCGGGAACTGGTCGCGGGTCCGGACGCTTCCGCCCGCCTTGGGCGGTATCGGCCGCTCAGCGGTCGGAGGAAATAGACGCGGGGGCTGAGGCTCTTGGACCTGAGGTATTAGGTTGGTGCAAAAATCATTGCGGCGGCCGGGAGCGGGGACTCACGCGTGTAATCCCATCATTTGGGGAGGCCGAGGCGGGCGGGTCACCAGAGTCAGGAGGAGGTCAAGACCAGCCTGGCCAACGTGGTGAAACCCTCTCTGCTAAAAGTACAAACATTAGCCGGGCGTGGTGGCGGCGCCTGTAAGCCCCGCTGCTCCGGAGGCCGAGGCAGAGTAAGCTATTGAACCCGGGAGGCGCAGCCTGCGGTGAGCCGAGATCAAGCCACTGCACTCCGGCCTGGCGACACAGCGAGACTCCGTCTCAAAAAAAAAAAAAAAAAAAAAAAGGAAGGAAAGAGACTTAGGGTGCATTCCCTGCTTTTTAAATTATGTATTTATTTATTTTGAAACGATGTCTAGCTCTGTCGCCCAGGCTGGAGTGCGGTGGCGCAATCTCGGCTCACTGCAACCCCCGCCTCCCAGGTTCACGCCATTCTCCTCCCTCAGCCTCCCGAGCAGCTGGGACTACAGGCGCCTGTCACCACGCCCGGCTAATTTTTTTGTATTTTTAGTAGAGACGGGGTTTCACCATATTGGCCAGGCTGCTCTCAAACTCCTGACCTCAGGTGATCCACCCACTTTGGCCTCCCAAAGTGCTGGGATTACAGGTGTGAGCCACGGACCTGGCCAGAGCCTGGGGTTCTCTAACTCGTTTCTGGGGCCTGCCCACCACTTTTCTTGCCAGTGCCCATCTTCCAGGTTCTTCCCAGGCTGCTTCTGCCTGCCTTGTCCTCTTCCTGCCCATCGTACCACACTCTCCCACCAGCATGTCCTTCATTCCGCTCTGACTCTTCTCACCACCCAGCCTAACCTGACTGAAAACCCCGCAGCAGGAGAGCAGGAGGCCTCTGCGTCTAGGTGCCGTGTGAGAAGCAGCTGTGAGGTCGGGCTCACACCTGTAGTCCCAGCACTTTGGGAGGACGAAGCGGGCAGATCACCTGAGGTCAGGAGTTTGAGACCAGCCTGGCCAACATGGTGAAACCCCACTTCTATTAAAAATCAAAAAAAAAAAATTAGCCAGGCGTGGTGGCGTGCACCTGTAGTCCCAGCTACTGGGGAGGCTGAGGCAGGATAATCAATTGAACCCAGGAGGCGGCAGTTGCAGGGAACTGAGATCCTGCCACTGCACTCCAGCCTGGGTGACAGAGTGAGGCTCCGTCTCAAAAAAAAAAAGGAGCTGTGGCATTACAGTTCACCACACCAGCCTGTGGATACCTCTGTCCCCTGTTCGCTGGGCCAGCTCTCTGAAGACTCAGCTCAGGCCGGGCGCGGCGGCTCACGCCTGTAATCCCAACACTTGGGGAGGCTGATGCAGGCAGATCATAAGGTCAGGAGTTCGAGACCAGCCTGGCCAATATGGTGAAACCCCGTCTCTACTAAAAATACAAAAAAGAATTAGCCGGGCATGGTGGCGTGCGTGCCTGTAATCCCAGCTACTCAGGAGACTGAGGCAGGAGAATTGCTTGAACCTGGGAGGCGGAGGTTGCAGTGAGCTGAGATCGCACCACTGCACTCCACTCCAGCCTGGCGACAGAGTGAGACTCCATCTCAAAAAAAAAAAAAAGAATCAGCTCCAGTGCAAGCGAGGCCTTCCTTGAGTTCTCCCAGGTGCTCTGCCAGGAGGTTTGTTGTTCCACCGAGCTCTCATTGCACCTGCGTGAGCTGTAGCATGGCCCTTTGCATATGATGCTCGAATCACTGGTAGATGTGTTTGTTTCCGACCTAAACAAGAGCTCTTCAAGAGCAGGGTAGCATCCAAGGGCAAGGACCATGTCTTGATTACCTTTGGATCCGCAGTATGTATGGCAGTGCCAGGCACAGAGTGGGTACTCATTATATACTATTTGGGTTTTGCAGGGGTTGTTTTTTTGGCAGGGTCTCTTGTCGCCCAGGCTGGAGTGCAGTGGTGTGATCACAGCTCACTGGAGCCCCAACCTCCCAGGCTCAAGCTATCCTCCCACCTCAGCATCCCAGGTAGCTGAGACGATGTCACGTACCACCACCGTTGGCGAATTTTTTAGTTTTTTGTAGAGACAGTGTGTTAGGCAGTTCTTGCACTGCTCTAAAGAAATACCTGAGACGGGGTGATTTATTAAGAAAAGAGATGGCCAGGCATGGTGGCTCACACCTGTAATCCCAGCACTTCGGGAGGTCAAGGCGAGTGGATTGCTTGAGGCCAGGAGTTCAAGACCAGCCTGGCCAACATGGCAAAATGCCATCTCTACTTAAAAAAAAAAATGCCAGGCATGGTGGCGGGTGCCTGTAATCCCAGCTACTCAAGAGACTGAGGCAGGAGAATTGCTTGAACCCGGGAGGCAGAGGTTGCAGTGAGCCGAGATGGTGCCATTGCACTCCAGCCTGGGCGACAGAGCGAGACTCCATTTCAAAAAAAAAAAGAGATTTAATTGGCTCACAGTTCTCAGGCGTTACGAGAAGCATACCACCCACATCACTCAGCTTCTGAGGAGGCCTCAGAGAGCTTTTACTCATGGCAGCAGGTGAAGAGGGAGCAGGTGAGTCCCATGGCGAGAGCAGGAGCAGGCGAGAGAGAGGCCAGAGGTGCCACACGCTTCTAAATGACCAGACCTCGCGGGAACCCACCATTGCAAAGACAGCTCCAAGTCGTGAGGGAGCCACCTCATGATCCACACGCCTTCCGCCAGGCCCCACCTCTAGCACTGGGGATCACAATTCAACATGAGATTCAACATGAGATTTGGGTGGGGACAGACGTCCAAACTGTGTGGACAGAGGTGATGCTCCTCAGGGTCTAGTTGTTGAACTCTGGAACACCAGTGAAGAGAACGCTGGTGTATTCGTCTGCCAGGCTGCTGTTACAGAATGCCACAAACTGGGCCACTTAAGCAACGGAAATTTATTTTCTCAGTGCTGGAGGCTAGAAGTCCAAGAACCAGGTGCCAGAAGGTTTGGTGTCTCCTGAGGCCTCGCCCCTGCGCTTGCAGGCAGCCGCCTTCTCACTGGGTCCTCACAGGGCCTTTTTCTTTGAGCCAGTGTAGAGAGCTCTGTTCTCTCTTCCTCTTTTTATAAGCACACCAGTCCTCTTTAATTAGGGTCCCACCCTTATGGCCTCATTTAATCATCTGTTGTTTTTTTTTTTGGAGACGAGGTCTCACTGTGTTGCCCAGATTAGCCTCAAACCCCTGGTCACGAGTGATCTTCCCACATCGGCTTCCCACAATGCTCAAATGACAGGTGTGAGCCACTGCGCCCAGTCTTATTTCACCTTAATTACTAATTTAAAGGTGCCATCATGGCCGGGCGCAGTGGCTCACACCTGTAATCCCAGCACTTTTGGAGGCCGACGTGGGTGGATCACTTGCAGTCAGGGGTTCGAGACCAGCCTGGCCAACATGGTGAAACCCTGTCTCTACTAAAAATAGAAAAATTAGCGGGCGTGGTGGCACGCACCTGTGATCCCAGCTACTCAGGAGGCTGAGGCAGGAGAATCGCTTGAACCTGGGAGGTGGAGGTTGCAGTGAGCCGAGATCTTGCCACTGCACTCCAGCCTGGGTGACAGAGCGAGACTGTCTCAAAAAAAAGAAAAAAAAAAAAGTGCCATCACCAAAGACTGTCACACTGGGAGTTAGGGCTTCAACCTACGGATTTGGAGGAAACACTATTTAGTCCATAATAACTGGAGAACTTGAATTTAGAAGATGGGGGTTGGGGCCCAGCACAGTGACTCACGCCTGTCATCCAGCACTTTTGGAGACCAAGGTGGGAGGATCACTTGAGGTCAGGAGTTCAAGACCAGACTGGGCAATGTAGCAAGATTCCATCCGTACAAAAATTAAAATCAGCCAGGTATGGTGGTGTGTGCCTGTAGTCCCAGCTAGTCAGAGGCTGAGGCAGGAGGATCGCTTGAATGCATGGGTTCTAGGTTACAGTAAGCTATGGTTGTGCCACTGTACTCCAGCCAGGGGAACAGAGCAAGACCCTGTCTCAGCAACAACAGAAAAACAGGGAGATGGGGGTCGGGTGCTGACTTCACCTGAATTTCACTGTGTGCTTTTGTGTAGCAAGCCTGCCGCCCTCTGTGAGCCTCAGCTTCTCGACGTGTAACAAGCGGCCAATTGTATGGGATTGTCAAGAAGCTGAAACGAGATCCTGGCTGGAGGGTATTTTATGAACTACACATTCCTACACAATTATAAAGACTTAGTTATTTGTCCTATCCATGGATCACCTGGAAGATTACAATGTGATTTAAAATGCATTCTGTCATTCAACCGACATGCCGTGAATTTTTTTGTCATTATTTCTCCAGAGATACCCAAAGGGAAAGTTTGTTTGTAATTTGTACCCACTCCTTGTAGAAAGGATTCAGGCAACCAATGATGAAAACATCCCGGCTTGAACGAGAAGGTTCTGCCTGTCACTTCTCACAGAGGCTGCAGAAAAGGCCCAGAAGGTTCTGCCTGTCACTTCTCACAGAGGCTGCAGAAAAGGCCCAGGAGGCTGTTGATGACGTGAGCGACCACCAGGAGAAGCTGGAGCAGGCTGATGCACAGAAGGGCGGAGAAGAGGGACACATGCCAGACAACAGCGGTAGAGGGCTCCAGGCAGACGGAGTTCCAGAGCAAACGGTCATACAGATAATTCCTATCCCAAAAAATCAGGAGACCAGGGGTCGGGCAATAAGTAAGGAAAGCCAAACAGGCAACCCCAGTAGAAAACGGGAGCCTCTCCTGACTGGGTCATGGGACTGGGCTCCTGAGGGTGACCATTCCTGCTGCCTTTGCAATTTTCTGAGCATCAGAGGAGCAAGATGCTAGGATGTGTGACCCAAAGGAACTTGTAGTTCATCTGTGTGTCTTTTTGTCTCTCCCTCTCTCTAAAAAGACTAAGCCCGAGCCTCCACCCATTTACCTACTATGCAGGTCTTTGAATGGGTAACCATATTTCCAAGCTTGTGTCTGATTGAAGGATGAAGTGTCAAACATGCAAAAAGGACCATCTTTCAGAGCAGCTCCAGAAGTGACAAAGCAAATCAGGGCTCCAAGTAAAGCCAGGCCACTTGACAACAGAGCAGTAAGCACCTGCGGAGGGAAGGAGAAACGGCGAGCTGAGACGGGGTCGCGGCTGGGGAGCCTGTGGGGCGGTCTGCACAGGTCTAACGTCTCTGGTCTCAGGCGTTCTTCTGTCCTGTCACGGGGGAGAATTCTATCCATGGCACACAAGATAGAAGCATCACCCACAGTGGGGAGGCCAGTGAGCGGTTTCCAGGTAGAGCCAGGAAGGGCTGGGAGAGAAAGGACCAAGAAGGAGAATCGCAGACTCTTGGCCCCGGATCTCCCTGACTCAGCAAGTTCGCCTGAGCTGCTCGGCAGGTTGGCATCACAAACCTTTTGCGGATTACAGCCATTCAGCCTCTGAGCTAAAGAGGCAGGTGATCACAGGCCCGCCTCTGACTCTTCTGAGGAAAAGGTGCATTTTCAAAAGTTCCAGGCTCCCAACTTTGATTTTTCTTTTTCAAATCAAGGATAAAAAGAAGGAAGGCAGGGAACGAAGGAGGGAAAGAAGGAGGAAAGAAGGGAAGGAGAGAAGTGGGAGGGAGGGAAAGAAGGGAGAGAAACAGCGAGAGAGGAGCTGCAGTCAGACTCTGAAATGACTCCACTTCTGTTGCTGCATTTCTCCAGCCAAGAGCTCCCGTGGCGATCAGTGTGTGCCCTCACTGCCCTCCCAGAAAATAACTGGGTTTCCTTCCTTGACAGGTTTCTAGCCTGCTTCTATATTGCCTGCCTTCCTCTCTCCCTCCTTTTTTGAGATGGAGCTTCACTCTTGTTGCCCATGCTGGAGTGCCGTGGCGCGATCTCAGCTCACGACAACCTCTGCCTCTGGGTTCAAGCAATTCTCCTGCCTCAGCCTCCCGAGTAACTGAGACTACAAGTGTGCGCCACCACACCCGGCTAATTTTTGTATTTTTAGTAGAGACGGGGTTTCACCGTGTTGGTCAGGCTGGTCTTGGACCTTGTGATCCGCCTGCTTCAGCCTCCCAAACTGCTGGGATTACAGGTGTGAGCCACTGTGCCCGGCCCATATTGAATTCTTTCTTAGGGTTCTAGATATTTTTCTCCCTCCTCCAAAAATGTGTATTTTAAAAATCTGAATAACACCTACATAGCGTTTTCTTCAGAGTCATGGAGTCATCTTCCCATTGATGTCAAGCTGGTTTGGAGTTGGGGAGGGACTGGAGAAAGGTGTATAGTAAGTTTTGACTCTGAGTTAAAAGATTGAAGATGAACTAGTAAGCCTAGGGCAGTGGTTCCCAAAATGGGGTCCCTGTCCAGCTGCATTACATCACCTGAGAACTTGTTAGAAATGCAAAACTTCCTCCTCCCCCTGACTCCTGAATCAGAAGCTCTGGGGAGGAGCCCAGCAGTCCATGTGCTGGCAAAAGCCCTCCAGGTGGTTCTGATGCACATTCAGTGTCAGAACTACGTGCCTCAGGGAAAACCAGACGGGACTGAGAACAGACAGTGCATGAATGAGGACAGTGAAAGAAATGTGCAAGTGTTTATTTATTTAGAGACGGCGTCTAGCTCTGTCGCCCAGGCTGGAGTGCAGTGGCGCCATCTCGGCTCACTGCAACCTCCGCCTCTCGGGTTCAAGCGATTTTCCTGCCTCAGCCTCCCAAGTAGCTGGGATTACAGGCCCCCACCACCACACCCGGCTAATTTTTGTATTTTTGGTAGAGACAGGGTTTCACCATGTTGGCCAGGCTGGTCTCGGACTCCTGACTTCAGGTGATCTACCCATGTCGGCCTCCCAAAGTGCTGGGATTACAGGGGTGAGCCACCGTGCACAGCCTATATTTAATTTTTTAACATGTAACTGAGTCAGTGGGCTTCCCAACACGTGGGCTGCAGATATCAGAGCAGGCTGTGGAGTTACCATAAGGCCACAGATTCATGTCTGAGACCGAGTGTGTGTGTGTGTTACACACATATACTGAGATCTTTCAAGTTTATACAGTTGCTGCTATAATTAATAAGTTACAAATTTATTCTGGGCCTCAGTTTATCTGTAAAATGGAGGGGTTAGATTAGAATCTAGTGATTAGATGATCTCTGGAAAAGTTTCCTGTTCTAAGAAAATATTAGTTAAAATAACTAGGAAAATTTCCATCAATGACACGATTACAGTGTCATAACTCAGTCCATATTGCCCAGCACACTAAGAGAATAACAGTTCCTCCCACTGGTACAGACATCTGGGCTTCACTAAGCACTACTCCCTTGACTTGCTCAGCTCCCATTTTACAGATGAAAGCCTGAAACTGGAAAGATGAAGCAACTTGCCAAAGAACTTAGCATTACTGAGGGTCACAGTGAGGACCTGACTTCAGGCCCCAAGACCAAAACTGCCTCTTTACCATCCTGCCTCTAGAGTAATAGAGGTGGAGACATTCTCGGTGTTAGAAGAGTGGAATCTGGTGCTTACGCTTCGACAGAGCCCACTCTTACTGAAGCAGCCGTATCTCCAGCCCATCAAGGAGATGAGGATAGCGGCAGTGAGTACCTGCAGGAGAGAGAAGAATGTTGAGATGGGGAAATTTACTTTGCCAGCTGTTTCTAGGTGCTGCCCACAGCTGTTGAAATAGGGTGGCTGGGCACCTCCCATGAACTCAGTTGTCCTCTTGACTCTGACTCCGGGGACCCACAGTTGGATGACTAGCCTGATCTAACGCTGTGGATGTGTGGATGTTAACTTTCACACCTGACCTGCCTGGTCCCAAGTTAGTCTTCCTGTCTCTTAAAGCTTCTGCAGATCCAAGACCAGCTTGTTAGAATAAACTTTACTGCAAGGAATCAAAACACTTCCCGTGCCACCTTCCTGCTCCCCCTCCGGGATCTCTTTGAGAGTTCGCGTTCAGGGAACCCCAGACACTTACCATGAGGCCTCCTCCCCAGAGCCCAGTTCCCAGCATGGCGTGCTTGCCAATGAGGCCCCTCAACAGGTAGGTCACATCCCAGTTAGGAAAGAGGAGTGCCATGTTGGCCCCAGCAGCAAACAGGGCTGCAGTCCCAAGGCTCAGCCCCAGGATACGGGAGCAAGTCCGTGAGCTTGCAGGCGTGCAGGGAGAGGACAGCATTCTGGAACAGAGAGAGAGTCGCGGCAGCGCTGCTGTCGCTGCTGTCGGGGGATGGTCCGTGAGCGTGCTGGCATGCAGGGAGAGGACAGCATTCTGGGACAGATAGGAGTCGGGGCAGTGCTGCTGTCGGGGGATGGGGAAGGGAACTCCAGCAGCATGTGATGGCTGGGGGAAATACTACAGAAACCGCCACCTTCCAGGGACAGACCAATGAGCCAAGCAACCGGCTTAAAAACTCTGCTCCTTAGGAATCTTCCCCAGGGACTAGGATTTAATTGTTTCCTTTTCTGCTAACCCCTGTCCACACATACATAGTTTGCATTCCATCATATTTTGTTTATGCCTCTATTACAGCCAGTGATTATTTCTATCCAACAAAAAGAAATGTTTAAAGGTGGCTTCATGATGTCCATTGTCCCTACTTCTTTTTTTTTTTTTTTTTTTGAGACGGAGTCTCGCTGTGTCGCCCAGGCGGGAGTGCAGTGGCTGGATCTCAACTCACTGCAAGCTCCGCCTCCCGGGTTCCCGCCATTCTCCTGCCTCAGCCTCCCGAGTAGCTGGGACTACAGGCGCCCGCCACCTCGCCCGGCTAGTTTTTTGTATTTTTTAGTAGAGACGGGGTTTCACCATATTAGCCAGGATAGTCTCGATCTCCTGACCTCGTGATCCGCCCGTCTCGGCCTCCCAAAGTGCTGGGATTACAGGCTTGAGCCACCGTGCCCGGCCTGTCCCCACTTCTATTCAGCTTTGCGCCGGTCCTAGCCAGCGCAGTACGAAAATAAAAGGAAGCAAAAGCCATACAGATAGGAAAGAAAGAAGTAACATTGCCGGCCAGGCGTGGTGGTTCACGCCTGTAATCCCAGCACTTTGGGAGCCCGAGGCGGGCAGATCATGAGGTCAGGAGTTGAAGACCAGCCTGGCCAACATGGTGAAACCCTGTCTCTACTAAAAATACAAAAATTAGCCAAGCATGGTGGCAGGCACTTGTAATCCAGCTACTGGGGAGGCTGAGGCAGGAGAATTGCTTGAACCCGGGAGGCGGAGGTTGCAATGAGCTGAGATCATGCCACTGTACTCCAGTCTGGGTGGGTGACACAGCAAGACTCCATCTCAAAAAAAAAAAAAGTAACATTGTTATTATTCACAGATAATGTGATCACATTATGTAGAAAATCCTAAACATTATTAGAACTAACAGGTGAGTTTAGCAAGGTCATAGAATAAAAGATTAATATACAAAAATTCTATTCTATTGTATTTCTATATACAAGCAATGACAAATTGAGGATTGAAATTAAAATATATTTACAATAGCATAAAAATATAATACATATGGATGAATTTAACAAAATATCTGCAAGACCTATATAGTAAGAATTGCAAAGCATTGCTGAGAAAATTAATGGAGACCTAAATAAACGGAGACACATACCATGCTCCTGAACCAGAAGACTCAAAATTGCTAACATGTTCTCCCTAAATTGATGCATAGATTTAAAGCAATCTCAGTCAAAATCCTAGGAGAGTTTTGTTATAGAAATTGACAACCTGAATCCAAATTTATATGGAAATGCAAAACAATTTTGAAGATTAGCCAAAGGAATTTTGAAAAACAAAGCTGGAGAACTTACGCCATGTGATTTCAAGACTTATAAAGCTACAGTAACTGAAGACACTGAAGTCACCGCGTAAGGAAACATATATGGACTACTGGACTACTGGAACAGGTTGGAGCTCAGAAATAGACCCAATCCATGACAAATGATTTTTTTTTTTTCTTGAGATGGAGTCTCACTCTCTCACCCAGGCTGGAGTGCAGTAGCGTGATCTTGGCTCACTGCAACCTCCACCTCCTGGGTTCAAGCGATTCTCCTGCCTCAGCCTCCCAAGTAGCTGGGATTACAGGTGCCCGCCAGCACGCCTGGCTAATTTTTGTATTTTTAGTAGAGACGGGGTTTCACCGTGTTAGCCAGGACAGTCTTGATCTCCTGACCTGGTGGTCCACCCGCCTTGGGCTCTCAAAGTGCTGGGATTACAGGTGTGAGCCACCGCGCCCGGCCGATAAATGATTTTTTAAGAAGATAACAATTCAGTGGGAAAAAGTCTCTTCCACAAATGGTGCTGGAACAATACATATGCAAAACAAAACTACCTTCACTGTTACTTCATAACAGATTCAAAAATTCACTTGAAATGGAGCATGGGTCTAAAAGCTTTATAAAATTTCTAGAATAAAACAAAAACACTGGGACCTTGGGTTAGATAAAGGTTTCTTAATAAAATGCAAAAAGCACAATCCACAAAACATGATTAATCAGACTGCTTAAAATTTAAATGTCGGCTGGGTGCTTGCCTATAATCCCAGCTACTCGGAGGTTGAGGCAGGAAAATCGCTTGAACCCAAGAGGCAGAGGCTGCAGTGAGCCGAGATCACGCGACTGCACTCCAGCCTGGGTGACAAGAGCAAGCGACTCCATCTCAAAAAAAAAAAAATCATGCTAAATGAAATAAGCCAGACACTAAAGGACAAATATTGATTCCACTTATATGAAATATTCAAAATAACAAATTTACAGAGAAAGAAAGTAGATTGGAGGTTACCAGGGACTGTGGGGAGGACAGAATGGGGAGTTATCGTTTAATGGTTACAGAGGTTTGGGGTTTTTTTTTTTGTTTTTTTGGTTTTTTTTGAGAAGAGTCTAATTCTTGTCACCCGGGCTGGAGTGCAGTGGCACGATCTCAGCTCACTGCAACCTCTGCCTCCCGGGCTCAAGCAATTCTCCTGCCAAGTAGCTGGGACTATAGGCGTCCGCCACCACGCCCGGCTAATTTTTGTATTTTTAGTAGAGACGGGGATTCACCATGTTGGCCAGGCTGGTCTTGAACTCCTGACCTCAGGTAATCCACCTGCCTCGGCCTCCCAAAGTGCTGGGATTACAGGCGTGAGCCACCACGCCCAGTGGTTTTGGGGGTTTTTTAGAGATGCAGTCTCAATATGTTGCCGCAGCTGGTCTTCAACTCCTGGGCTCAAATGATCCTCCAGCCTGAGCCTCCAGAGTAGCTACGACCAGATTTGGGCCACTGCCCACAGTTTAATGGTTACAGACTTTCTGTTTGGGGTGAAGAAAAGTTTTGGAAATAGATAATGGTAATGGTTGTACATCATTGCAAATGTAATTACTGTCACTGAATTGTACACTTTAAAATGGTTAAAAAGACAAATTTGATGTTACATACTTTACCACAATAAAAAATCAATTTAAAAACTTGCAATTACCCAAATGTGGTAATCCCAGCACTTTGGGAGGCCAAGGCAGGTGGATTACCTGAGGTCAGGAGTTTGAGACCAGCCTGATCAACATGGTGAAACCTCGTCTCTATTAAAAATACAAAAAATTTGCCAGACGTGGTGGCAGGCACCTGTAATCCCAGCTACTCCGGAGGCTGATGTAGGAGAATCGCTTGAGCCCAGGAGGCAGAGTTTGCAATGAGCAGAGATCTTGCCGTTGCACTCCAACCTGGGCAACCAGAGTGGAGCTCATATATATAAATAAACATGAATTAAAACAGGACTAGTAATATTTGGGCAGACGCACGTCAATGTGGATCTGAAAAAACTCAGCGTCATGACATCCCCAGGAAGTGGCCTGTTGCCACTGTGCAGTTCTGTTACATGTCTGTCTCCCCTTAAGGCTCTTTATTTATTTATTTTTAATTTTAAAAAATTTATTTTTGGCCGGGTGTGGTGGCTCACGCCTGTAATCCCAGCACTTTGGGAGGCTGAGGTGGGCATATGACCTGAGGTCAGGAGTTCAAGACTGGCCTGGCCAACATGGTGAAACCCCGTCTCTACTAAAAATACAAAACTAGCCGGGTGTGGTGGTGCATGCCTGTAATCCCAGCTACTCAGAAGGCTGAGGCAGAAGAATCACTTGAACCCAGGAGGCAGAGGTTGCAGTGAGCCGAGATCGCACCACTGCACTCCAGCCTGGACAACAAGAGTGAAAGTCCGTCTCAGGAAAAAAAAAAAAAAAATGTAATACAGGTGAGGTCTCCTTATGTGGCCCAGGCTGGTCTCAAACTCCTTGGCTCAAGGGCCCTCCCACCTCAGACTCCCAAAGTACTGGGATTACAGGCATGAGTCACTGCACTTGGCCCCTTTAGGCTCTTGACACTCCTATAACACATTGCTTTGCACTTAATCAGAAATATGTGTATATAGGCTGGGCACAGTGGCTCATACCTGTAATCCCAGCACTTTGGGAGGCTGAGGTGGGTGGATCATGAGGTCAGGAGTTCGAGACCAGCCTAGCCAACATAGTGAAACCCCATCTCTACTAAAAATACAAAAAAATTAGCCGGGCGTGGTGGCGGGTGCCTGTGGTCCCAGCTACTCGGGAGGCTGAGGCAGGAGAATGGCATGAACCTGGGAGGCAGAGCTTGCAGTGAGCCAAGATTATGCCACTGCACTCCAGCCTGGGCAACAGAGTGAGACTCCGTCTCAAAAAAAAAAAAAAGGCTGGGCGTGGTGGCAGGCACCTGTAATCCAAGCTACTCAGGAGCTTGAGGCAGGAAAATCACTGGAGCCCGAGAGGCAGACGTGGCAGTGAGCCCAGATCACGCCACTGCACTCCAACCTGGGTGACAGAGCGAGAGTGAGAGCGAGAGAAGGGAGGCAGGTAGGCAGGCAGGCAGGCAGGCGAAGGGAAAGGAAGGGAGGAAGGAAATTATATATATATATATATATATATATATATGAATGATATGGATCAGAGGCTCTATATATGCACACACACATACACACATATAATGTATAATGTGTATATATATGTGTATATGTACGTACACACACACGCAGTAGTCCTCCATATCTGCAGCGGATATGTTCCAAGAGCTTCAGCAGATACCTGAAACCACAGATCATACCAAACCTTGTATATTCAGATGCTTCTCCACTTATCATGGGGTCGTTCTCCTATAAACCCATTCTAAGTCAAAATATCCTAAGTCCAAAAGGCATTTAATGCTGGCAACATAGTAGACAGTATCTGACTCACAATGGTTCAACTTAGGATTTTATTTATTTATTTATTTATTTATTTATTTATTTATTTATTTTGAGAGAGGGTCTTGCTCTGTCACCCAGGCTGGAGTGCAGTGCACAATCATTGTTCACTGCAGCCCTGATCTGGGCTCAGGCGATCCTCCCACCTCAGTCTCTCAGGTAGCTGAGACCGCAGGCATGCGCCACCATACCTGGCTAACTTTTTAGTTCTGTAGAGACAGGGTCTTACTATGTTGCTCAAGCTGGTCTCAAACTCCTGGCCTCAAGTGATCCTCCCACCTCCACCTCCCAAAATGTTGGGATTACAGGTGTGAGCCACCACGCCCAGCCCCAACTTACTTTTGACTTTATGCGGTGCAAAAGCAATGAGTATTCAGTAGAAACCGTAATCCTATCATAACGTGTAAGGAGTTAACTTATGATGGAGTTAGGTCCCTAGAAACCTGTCGTAAAGTTGGAAAATTAGAAGTCAAACCTTCATAAGTAGAGGACTGTCTGTACTACGCTTTTTCGTATACATACGTACCTATAGTAAAGTTTAATTTATAAATTAGACACAGTAAGAAGTTCACAACAACAATAATAAAATAGAACAGTTGTAACAATATACTGTAATAAAAGTTATGTGGATGTGGTCTTTCTCATTGAAAATATTTCATGTAAGTTTTTTGAACTGCAGTTGACCACAGATAGCTAAAACCTTGGAAAGCAAAGCTGCAGATAAGGGGGGATTACTTTACATCACACATAAATAATGAAATATTTCAGAGCACAAAGAATTAAACATTGGGGGAGGGCCAGGGCTGAAAAACTATCTATAGGTACTGAGCTCACTACCTGAGTGACGGGAATTACTCATACCCTAATCTCAACATCACACAATAGACACATGGAACAAACCTGCGTATGTATCCCCGAATCTCAAAAGTTGAAATTATATTTTTAAAATTTGCATCAAAGGCCAGGCATGGTGGCTCATGCCTGTAATCCCAGCACTGTGGGAGGCCAAGGCGGGCAGATCACTTGAGGTCAGGAGTTCAAAACAGCCTGGCCAACATGGCGAAACGCCATCTCTACTAAAAATACAAAACTTAGCCAGGCGTGGTGGTGTGCACCTGTAATCCCAGCTACTCAGGAGGCTGAGGCAGGAGAATCGCTTGAACCTGGGAGGCAGAGGTTGCAGTGAGCCAAGATAACACCACTGCACTCCAGCCTGGACCACAGATCGAGACACTGTCTCAAGAAAAAAAAATTGCATTAAAAAAGAATTAAACATAATGAGTAAACTATATGTGTAACTTGTGTGGGATAATTAACACCCATGTAAACACAACCAATTGTAAAACATATGTCATTACCCATCACATCACTGATGCTCCAGGTGTGTCCTCTCCAATCCTGCCTTCTTTCTGGATTCCTTCCTAGGAATCACTATCCTATATTTCATCTTCATGATATCCTTTTAAAAACAGTTTTACAACTTAGGAACTCAAAATTTTTTTAGAAACTTGGTTTGTCGAGTGTTTTCTATTTTTTCAGACCGTAGTTTTTTTTTTTTGTTGGAGACGAAGTCTCGCTCTGTCGCCCAGGCTGGAGCAGTGGTGCGATCTCAGCTCACTGCAACCTCCACCTCCCGGGTTCAAGCGATTCTTCTGCCTCAGCCTCCCCAGTAGCTGGGACTACAGCCGCCCACCACCATGCCCAGCTAATTTTTGTATTTTTGGTAGAGACGGGGTTTCACCATGTTGGCCAGGCTGGTCTTGAACTCCTGGTCTCAAGTGATCTGCCTGCCTCAGCTTCCCAAAGTGCTGGAATTACAGGCGTGAGCCACCGAGCCCAGACAGACTGTAGCTTATGGTAAAGACGACAAACACTGAGACAGAACACTGAGCAGGCTGTTTAGTTTGGGGGTATGCTTTGGCTCCTCTCCCTCACCCTACCCCACAGCCCTCAGTGACTTTTGCTTCCTCTAATCTCAGCCCATGCTCATCTCCTGCCCCTCCCCTCCCCAGAGGGAACTTTTGGCTGCAATTCTTCGATTTCGTTATGATGAGTTGCCTTGACCGCATGCCCTGTCCATTGGGTATTAGCCCTCCAAGCCATGTCTTCCACAGTGAATAAAGAGCTTGTCCCAGATGAAAAGGATGCACGGGGAGGGTGGGGGCAGGAGAGGGGAGGGGTATCCTGGGAGGGTGGGGGCAGGAGAGGGGAGGGGTGCACGGGGAGGGTGGGGGCAGAAAAGGGGAGGGGTGTCCTGGGAGGGTGGGGGCAGGAGAGGGGAGGGGTATCCTGGGAGGGTGGGTGTAGGAGAGGGGAGGGGTGTCCTGGGAGGGTGGGGTTGGAGAGGGGAGGGGTGCACGGGGAGGGTGGGGGTTGGAGAGGGGAGGGGTGCACGGGGAGGGTGGGGGCTGGAGAGGGGAGGGGTGTCCTGGGAGGGTGGGGGCAGGAGAGGGGAGGGGTGCACGGGGAGGGTGGGGGCAGGAGAGGGGAGGGGTGCACGGGGAGGGTGGGGGTAGGAGAGGGGAGGGGTATCCTGGGAGGGTGGGGGCAGGAGAGGGGAGGGGTATCCTGGGAGGGTGGGGGCTGGAGAGGGGAGGGGTGTCCTGGGAGGGTGGGGGCAGGAGAGGGGAGGGGTCACGGGGAGGGTGGGGGTAGGATATGAACCAACGGTGACCCTTACCCCTGCGACCCAAGGGTCCTGGGGCAGGATGGGGTCAGGAATCAGGAGGGATGGGGTGTCTCATCCCCTGTCACCCCTCTGGCTGGCAGGCCACTGGACTCCTCAGTCACAGCAAGGAGCCTGTCCTGCTCCTGAGAGCAGGGTGACTGTGGAGAACGGCCCCCCTCACAGCGGCCCACAGTGCTGCGATGCCCCCCGCATGTCCACGCAGCCTCCCTCCGAGATGGTCCCATCATGCAGTGCGAGGCTTTCAGTGTGTAATTCTGTGTTGAGGCAAATTAACCACCCAGGGTGTCAGCAACTCTCAACTTTAACCCACTGCCCACTCAGATGACTGACGGGGGCCCAAGGAAAGATGGGTGTGTGGTGGCCTCTCAAGCGGGCGCTCTAGATCTTAGGGCCAGGAGACGCCCTAGTGCAGGAACGCATTTAGTGCCTTCAAATCACACCACCTTTGAGAAAGGCCTGTCTAGACACTTCACCAACATCAACCCCCTGACAATCTACACAAACTTTCCCATCAGAAAAGTCTTTTTTCTTTTTTTTTCTTTTTTATGAGACAGAGTTTCACTCTTGTTGCCCAGGCTGGAGTGTAATGTCCCGGTCTCGGCTCACTGCAACCTCCACTTCCTGGGTTCAAGCGATTCTCCTGCCTCAGACTCCTGAGTAGCTGGGATTACAGGTGCCCACCATTACGCCCGGCTAATTTTGTATTTTTAGTAGAGACTGGGTTTCTCCAGGTTGGCCAGGCTGGTCTTGAACTCCTGACTTCAGGTGATTCACCCGCCTCGGCCTCCCAAAGTGCTGGGATTACAGGCGTGAGCCACCGCGCCCGGCTCAGAAAAGTCTTAAAGGGGAAACTAAAAATGATGGACAACGAGGGGAAAACTACCAGCTGGAGCATGGCTTTTGAATGAGTGGAATTCAGAGGCTGGCTGTCCGCCAATCAAACACTAAAAGCGCTTGCCGTCGTGTGAATTTCACCTCCTCTTCCTGACTTTATTCCCCCTAGAAATCATAACATTTGGAGAAACGCTTCCAAAAAATGTGAACCAGGAGGTGAGCAAAGAGGTGGGCTAATTTGATATCTGAAGAGACAAGCAAGATCAGAAGGTAAAACCTGAAAACCAGGCTGTTGGGGAGTTCCTTGTTCTGTCCTGAGGTCCTGGCTAGGTGAGCAAGTCATCGGCTAGATGTCAGGGCAACAACAGAAGTGATCAGCTCAATTCCATGGAGGAAGAGAACGCACATTCTCTACCCCTGTGGGTCTCCCTCGCCACCTAGCAAGCCTTTTCTTTCATTCTTTCTTCAGTCAGATGTTTATTAAGTGATCATTACCTGACAGGCACTTGCTGGGGGCTAGGGATATAATGATGAAAAAGATGTAATCCCTTTTCCTGAGGAGCTTAAAGTTTACTGGGGACGCAGCTAAGGCAAAAAGCAATTCTGGTTTTTTGTTTGTTTGTTTGTTTGTTTTTTGAGACAGAGTTTCGCTTGTCGCCCAGGCTGGAGTGCAGTGGCACAATCTCGGCTCACCGCGACCTCCACCTCCCGGGTTCCAGCGATTCTCCTGCCTCAGCCTCCCCAATAGCTGGAATTACAGGCACGCACCCCCCCAGCTAATTCTGTGTTTTTAGCAGTGACGGGTTTCACCATGTGCGTCAGGCTGGCCAAAAAGCAATCCTAATGAAGTGTGGTGAGTGTTAGAGCAGACACGAGCAGGGCCGGGGAAGGCCCCGACCCCAGTAACCTCAGGTGACTGTGAGGGGATGGTCAGGCAGTTGTTACTCTGTCTTTCTAAAATAATAATTGGTCACAGCCAGCGTCAGGGAAAGGCAGTCTCCCAACAGATGGAAAATACCTGAACCTGGTGATCAGCAGCTACCTGATAAGAGCTCAGGGGCTGGGCGTCAGCGCTCCAGCAGGTGCACTAAGAAGCAAAATGGCGGAGTTTAGCTGGTTCGTGACGGTCCTCTAGCGCCGCTCCGCTGGTAAGGGAAAAACGCCTCAAGTGAGCATGCGCAGGACTTCAGTAACCCCACTGCGCATGCGGCCCCTCCCAAGTGCCTGTGCGGCAGACTTTGGGGCGTGCGGACAGCGCATCCCAAGGGAAGATCAGGGGAGAAGAGATGGAGACCGCGGAACCATCCCCATGTAGAAAACCCAAGTCAAGGGCTGAACAGCACGCTTGGGTCTCTCAAGTCGCGCACTTGGCCCTCTTCCAAGTGTACTTTACTTCCTTTCATTCCTGCTCTGAAAGTTTTTAATAAACTTTCACTCCTTCTCTAAAACTTGCCTCGGCCTCTCCCTCTGCCTTAAACCCACTTCTGCCCCTCAGCTGAATCTTTCCCCCAGAAGGCAAGGACTGAGTTTGCTGCAGACTCTGGATTCGCCGCTGGTTGCAGTAAGTACCAGGCAGAGGCATCCAACTTAAGGCGTCATGGAAGCCCATGGAGGAACCGAATCCTATCTGGCAGAAGCAAAACGCAGCCTCCCGCAGGAAGGGCTGCCCATGCCCACACTTGATGGACAGTGAGGTACTAGGCAGGGAAGAGTATCCTAGGTGCAAAGGCCGGAAGTTGACAGACTGAGGCAAAAGGAGAAGGTAAGTGAATTGCGCAGTCACACAGCCGCCAAGCTGCAGAGCCAGGCCCGCTGGAGTGGAAACGTGCACTCTCGTCTGTGAGGCTGCGCTGTCCCTGGCCGTCACCTCACCCTTTCATCTCCGCTTACCTGCATCTGCTGTCAAGGCTCAGAATGGGAGAGAAAGAACCTGGAGCAAGGCTGCCTCTTCAGAGGGGGCTCCGCTCCTGCAGCCCCGGGGCTGGACCTGAAGGTTGTCTTTCCAGGACTCTGTCCAGGAGGGCCAGGGAGGCTCTCTATATACGCAGAGGTCACCCAGGCGTGTGTGTGCGCCCACGCCCCTGCCCACAGCCTGCATTGAGGGCGCTTCCGCTCCTTGGAGCGCCCTGTCCTGATGACCCACCCTCTGCTCATTTCCATGTGATTCTAAGGCAGGAAACAGGAGGCCTCATGAGCTCCACGGTCCTGATGAGTCACTGGATGCACCCGTGAGAAACACCTCACCCTCCGCTCTCCCCAGGCAGCAACGCTTTCCACACCCCAGCTGTTCCTGTCCTCATCTGCCACCCCGCAAAGAATCTGGGCTCTTTGGCAGAACAGCACCAAGCGGGGCAGCCACCCCTTTTTCCTCATCACTCTCCTTACCTTGCCCTTGGCTGTCTCGACGTGTGGCATGGTTCCTGTACTGGACTTCTAACTTTTTTTTTTTTTTTTTTTGAGACAGGGTCTTACTCTGTTACCCAGGCTGGAGTGCGGTGGCGTGATCTCGGCTCACTGCCAGCTCCACCTCCCACACTCAAGCAATCCTCCCGCCTTGGCTTCCTGAGTAGCTGGTACTACAGGCACCTGCCACCATGCCCGGCTAATCTTTGTATTTTTAATACAGACGGGGTTTTGCCATTTTGGCCAGGCTGCTCTCTGATTCCTGTGTATTTTTAATACAGACGGGGTTTTGCCGTTTTGGCCAGGCTGCTCTCTGACTCTTGACCTCAGGTGTTCGCCTCAGCCTCCCAAAGTGCTAAGATTACAGGTGTGAGCCACCACACTCAGCCTCCTAACTGTTTTGTTCAAGCCCCAGGCCACTATCATCTTGTACCATACTCTCACCAAATTTCTGAGGATTTTGTGGTGCTCTCTGCATGGGAGATTGGTGACCCTCTATGGACAAGCTCCTATTCAAGATTCAGTTCAAACATTCCCAGTGAAGTCTGCCAGGATTTCTTTCTTTTTTTTTTTTTTTTTTTCTTTTTTTGAGAAGGAGTCTTGCTCTGTCGCCCAGGCTGGAGTGCAGTGGCCGGATCTCGGCTCACTGCAAGCTCCACCTCCCAGGTTTATGCCATTCTCCTGCCTCAGCCTCCCGAGTAGCTGGGACTACAGGCGCCGCCACCTCGCCCGGCTAGTTTTTTTGTATTTTTTAGTAGAGACGGGGTTTCACCGTGTTAGCCAAGATGGTCTCGATCTCCTGACCTCGTGATCCACCCATCTCGGCCTCCCAAAGTGCTGGGATTACAGGCTTGAGACACCGCGCCCGGCCTGCCAGGATTTCTTTACTCTGAGTTAGATACTTCTTTCTCTATGCTCCCGTTGTGTTTTAAACATCTAGATATTATAATGCATGTATACAGTAAAAGTGCAGAAATCTTTTTTTTTTTTTTTGAGAGGGAGTTTCGCTCTTGTTCCCAGGCTGGAGTGCAGTGGCACAATCTCACCTCACCGCAACCTCTGCTTCCCTGCTTCAAGCAATTCGCATGCCTCAGCCTCCCAAGTAGCTGGGATTATAGGCATGCGCCACCACGCCTGGCTAATTTTGCATTTTAGGTAGAGACAGCGTTTCTCCATGTTGGTCAGGCTGGTCTCGAACTCCAGACCTCAGGTGATCTACCTGCCTTGGCCTCCCAAAGTGCTGGGATTACAGGTGTGAGCCACAGTGCCCGGCCTAAAGTGCATAAATCTTAATGATAAAATCTGATGAATTTTTACATGTACACCCAGGTGAACCAGCACACAAATCAAGATACAGGACATTCCAAATCCCCACAGGCTTAATTGTGTCTCCTGTCATTCATATCCCTTGTCCCCTGTGTTAACTTTCATTTTGGCTCTTACAATAATTGGTTAGGTTTCAGTTGTTCTTGAATTTCACATAAATTCAATCAGTTTCCTTTTTTAAAAAAAAAAACAAAAAAACAGGATTTTGCTGTGTCATCCAGGCGGGAGTGCAGTGGCACAATCATGGCTCACTGCAGCCTCGCCCTCCCAGGCTCAAGTGATCCTCCCACATCAGCCTCCCGAGTAGCTGGGACCACAGGCAAGCATCACCACACCAGCTGATTTTTTTATTTCTTGTAGAGATGGGGTCTCACCATGTAGCCCAGTCTGGTCTCGAACTCCTGGGCCCAAGTGATCCTCCTGCCTTGGCCTCCCAAAGTGCTAGATTACAGGTGTGTGTCACTGCACCCGGCCCAGTGTGGCTTTTGTGTGTGGCTTTCTTTATTCAATATTCTATATGCAAGATTCATCCATCATGTAATTTATTCTTTTATTGCTGAGTATTATTTCATTGGATATTACAACTTTTTCTACTCTTGATGGACATTTATATTTTCAACTTTTGCCTGTTATAAATAATGCTGCTATGAATATTATTCTACATGTCTTTTGACAGAACTATGCACTAATTTTTCAGAGAATATACTTAGGAATAGCATTGCTATCATAGGGCAGGTGAATATTTAATTTTGGCAGATATTGCCACACAGATTCCCAAAGTACTCCTACTAATTTACATGTCCACCAGCAGTGTGTGGCAGTTTCCATTTCTACACATTCTTTCAAACATTTTTAATTTTAGGCATTGTGGTGGGTGTTTAATGTAATCTCCTTGTGTTTGAATTTGCATCTTCTTGATGGGTAAGCACCTTTTCATATATGTATTAGCCATTTGAAGATCCTCTTTGAGAAGTTCCTGTCCATGGTTTTTGCCCATTTTTGGTTATCTTTTTTTCTTACTATTTTCTAGTTCGTTATAATTCTAGGTATGAGACCTTTATCAGGTAAACTTATTGTGAATGTTTTCCCCCAGTTTGTGGTTTGACTTTTTACTCTCTTTATTATGTCTTTTTTTTTTTATTTTTTTATTTTTTTTTTATTTTTGAGACAGTCTAGCTCTGCCATCAGGCTAGAGTGCAGTGCCACGATCTTGGCTCACTGCAACCTCCATCTCCCAGGTTCAAGCGATTCTCCTGCCTCAGCCTGCCGAGTAGCTGGGATTACAGGCATGGGCTGCCACACTCAGCTAAGTTTTGTATTTTTAGTAGAGACGGGGTTTCACCATGTTGGCCAGGCTGGTCTTGATCTGCTGACCTCGTGATCCACCCACCTGAGCCTCCCAAAGTGCTGGGATTACAGGTGTGAGCCACCACGCCCGGCCTTAATTATGGCTCTTCATGAAGAGAAAATACTGATTTTAATTCAGCTCCATTCATCTATCTTCTTTTATGGTCAATACTTCTAGTGTCCGTTTAGGAAATCTTTGCCCACGTCCCACCGCAGTGTGACTCACTTCTCACTTCATGGTTGTGAGGCCCTTGCAGGCAGCGGCTAACTCTGTATGTTCCGAGCTCTGTATGTTCACACAGAGCTTGGAACATGGCAGGAGCTCCAGAATCACTTGATGAATGAATTCATTCATGCAAATGCGTAAAGTAACACACACAGTGTCTGCATGCAGATTTTACTTCCAGTGATGAAAACAATTACTGAGAAAACCCCTGATGCACATATATGAGAAGGGATCATTATAACTGACTATCACAGGTTAATTTTTTAAAATAAAATTGAAACCCTTCATTAATTTTCGTGTCATCCTTGCACAGGAACCATGTTAAACTTCTCTGTGTTGTCCCAATTTTAGTATATGTGTTGCCAAAGTGAGCACAGTTTAAGTCTTCTAAACTGTTTGTGAGTTGCTTTCTATATAAGAATTTCTTTCTTTTTTTTTTTTTTTTTTTTCAGATGGAGTCTCGCTCTGTCGTCGCCCAGGCTGGAGTGAGTGGCCGGATCTCAGCTCACTGCAAGCTCCGCCTCCCGGGTTTACGCCATTCTCCTGCCTCAGCCTCCCGAGTAGCTGGGACTACAGGCGCCGCCACACGCCCGGCTAATTTTTTGTATTTTTTAGTAGAGACGGGGTTTCACCGTGTTAGCCAGGATGGTCTCGATCTCCTGACCTCGTGATCCGCCCGTCTCGGCCTCCCAAAGTGCTGGGATTACAGGCTTGAGCCACCGCGCCCGGCCGAACAAGACACTTCTTGAAGAAACCAGGCACGTGACGGCCCGCGTGGGGTCTGTGTCTTCACTTCCCCGTGGAGAGCCTCTCGCTGCCTCGGAAGAACGGAGCATCCTTTTGGCGGACGGTGCCCGGTGCGGAGTGAGGCTGCAGGCGGCTGCCCGCGGCGGCTCTGCCGGGTGCCCGGGGGGCGCGGACGGGAGTCTGAGGACACCGTGAGCGGCGGGCCGGGGCCCGGAGACCAGTCGTGCCGCAAAAGGCTTCCCGAGGCTGAACCGTTTGGGGGGCGCCGCGGCCCACACCGGGAGTCCCAGCACTTCGGAGGCCGGGGAGCACTCGAGGCTGTGGCCGCCCGAGGCCCCCCTTACCCGCGGCCCGGACGGAGCCGGTTCTTCACGACAGGGGAACCGCAATAGAGAAACAGTCACTCAGGCCGAGGCGGCTGTGCGGGAGGCCGGAGTTTCCTTATCACTCAGATCCGTCTCCCTGAGCATTGGAGGAGCAGGTTTTAAGGAAAACTTGCTGGGTGGGGAAGCCAGGGACCGGGGTGCTCACTGGTCAGGGATGAAATCCCGGGGAGTCAGAGCTGTCTTCCTGCGGACTCAGTTCCTGGGTCGGGGTCACGAGATCGGACCAGCCAGGTTATCGATCCGGGTGGTGCCAGCTGATCCATCAGGTGCAGCGTCTGCAGAATATCTCGAGCTCTGATCTTAGGAGCCGTGTAGGGAGGGTCAGACTCGTGTCCTCCAGCTGCATGGCTCCTAAACCAGAATTTCGAATCCTGTGGCTAATGTTAGTCTAGTCCCCAGGCAAGGAGGAGGGCTGCTTTGGGAAAGGGCTGTTACTGTCTTTGCTTAAACTATAAATTACAAACTCAGTTTCTCCCAAAGTTAGTTCAGCCTATGCCCAGGAATGAAGAAGGACAGCTTGGAGGTGAGACGCAAGATGGAGTCGGTTCAGTTGAATCTCTTTCACTGTCATCATTTTGCAAAGGCGGTTTCAAGGCCAGAAATTTGAGACCAGCATGACCAACATGGTGAAATCCTGTCTTTACTAAAGATACACAAATTAGCGGGGCGTGGTGTACACACCTGTAGTCCCAGCTACTGGGGAGGCTGAGGTGGGAGGATTGCTTGAGTACCAGATGTGGAGGTTCCAGTGAGCCGAGATCGCGCCACTGCACTCCAGTCTCAGCGACAGAGAGAGACTGTGTCTCAAAAAAAAAAAAAGAAGACTCGGCAGAACGGGCTAGACAGATGTTCCATTCTGGGGTATATTGTGGGATCTGGAGGTGGGATTTGAGCAAGAAATTGAGGAAGCTGATAAAATAGAATTCACTGGCAGAAGAAAAAGAGAGAAGATGAAACAGCAAGACAACTAGGCCAGCTGTTTTCTAGAGTTCGCCAGATAAGAGTGACAGGACTAATCAGCCTCCTGTGGGTGGACTTCAAACTCAACTGAAAGCTGACAAGAGAGCACATTCCTTAATTGGAGGGAGGAAAAAGGGGAAGATATGTTGAAAGGGCTGCCATTTATACCAGACCACTGAAGAGGAAGTTAGGGTTTTCTCATTAGTATACACATATTGTAAACTTCTACCCACTCAAACTAGATTTCTGCCTCCAACACTGCACTGAAACTGTTCTTGGTCTCCAGTAATTTCGTGTCTCTGATGAACACTTCACTGTCCTCTTGACTCTAGACACAGTTGGCCACAAGATCCTTCTTGAACATTCTCACTCTTGGCTCCCTTGGCGCCCCACTCTGGTGTTTGTTTTGTTTTGTTTCCAAGACAGAGTTTTGCTCTTGTCCCTCAGGCTGGGGTGTGGAGTGCAGTGGTGTGACCTTGGCTCACTGCAACCTCCACCTCCCGGGTTCAAGCAATTCTCCTGCCTCAGCCTCCAGAGTAGCTGGACTTACAGGCACGCGCCACCACACTTGGCTAATTTTTGTGTTTTTAGTAGGAGATGGGGTTTCACACTGTTTGCCAGGCTGGTCTAGAACTCCTGACCTCAGGTGAGCCCCCGACCTCAGCCTCCCAAAGTGCTGGGATTACAGGCGTGAGCCTCTGCGCCCAGCTGAGAATTCTCCTTTAAATAACTTGTTGGGGAGTTTACTTGTAGGCTGAGACCTGAAGGATAAAAGAAAGTGACATGCTAAGACGAGGAGAACTCAAGCAGACGAAGCGCCTCGGCTGTGGAACAGGAAGCTGTTTGATGTCGGGGTTTGAGAGAAAGCCAGTCAGCTGGCAGGCAGGGGGCAAAAGGGGTGGCACGAAGCAAGGAGCTTGGACATTCTGAGTGGAATGAGAAGCCAATATGTGGAGAACGGGTCGGAAGAGAGTAAGAGCGGAGACTATTGCAGTGGTCAAGAAAAAAAGCAGGTCACTTGGACCACAGTAATGAATAGACTGAAAAGCAGGGTTATATTTTATGCATTTTGGAGGTAGAAGTTAAAGGACTTGCTGTTGGGCTGGATATGGGGGAATAAGCAAAAGAAAAAGACTTAAGTTTCTGGCAGGTTCGTAGGTAGTGGTGTCATTGCAGGTCTGGGTGGGGAGGCGTCATTTTAGATGTAAGAGTGACACTTCCAACTGTAGGTGTCGTGTAAAAAGTCGGACATGTGAGTCTGAAGCTTGGAGGAGAGACGGGCTGGAGTTAGAGATCTGAGAACTCATTGGCTTTATACACGGTGGTTGGTACTATGAGAATGAGATCACTGAGGGAGAGTTAGAGGGCCAGGTCCTGGGGATCACCACCATAAAGACCCAATCAAGGAGGCGCAGGCAGTGAGAAGAAACACCAGGTCAGGTGCGGTGGCTCACACCTGTCATCCCAGCACTTTGGGAGGCCAAGGCAGGTGAACCACTTGAGGTCAGGAGTTCGAGACCAGCCTGGCCAACACGGTGAAACCCCATCTCTACTAAAAACACAAAGATTAGCCAGGTAAGGTGGTAGGCATCTGTAGTCCCAGCTACTCGGGAGGCTGAGTCAGGAGAATCGCTTGAACCCGGGAGGCGGAACTTGCCGTGAGCTGAGATTGCGCCACTGCACTCCAGCCTGCGCGACAGAGTGAGACTCTGTCTCAAAATTAAAAAAAAAAAATAAAGAATTCTCTATTGGCTCCTTTTCTGTATATTTTTAAAATTCTATTAGAATCAAATCTGTTTTTCCACGTATGTTTATCATCCGTGCTCCCAGCTAGAAAGTCAGTTTCTTGAGGGCCCAGGATGGATCTGTTTGGCCCCGTCACACACATCCCTGTTATTTTCCCCGTTGCACACATCCCTGTTGTTTTCCCCGTCGCACACATCCCTGTTGTTATTTTCCCCGTCACACACATCCCTGTTATTTTCCCCGTCACATACACCCCTGTTATTTGGCAATCGGAAGCACTGGGATGAGAAATGCTTCCACAACCCATCACTGCAGAACTGTGAGCCAAGCAGCAATCCCAGTTTTTTTGGGTTTTTTTTTGAGATGGAGTCTCACTCTGTCACCCAGGCTGAATGCTATCTCAGCTCACTGCAACCTCCACTTCCCAGGTTCAAGCAATTCTCCTGCTTCAGCCTCCCGAGTAGCTGGGATTAGAGGCACCACAACCACGCCTGTTTTTTGTTTTTTTTGAGACAGAGTTTCGCTCTTGTCACCCAGGCTGGAGTGCAGTGGCATGATCTTGGCTCACGGCAACCTCTGCCTCCTAGGTTCAAGCGATTCTCCTGCTTCAGCGTCCCGAGTAGCTGGGATTACAGGCATGTGCTACCATGCGCAGCTAATTTTTGTATTTTTAGTAGAGACAGGGTTTCACCACGTTGGCCAGGCTGGTCTCGAACTCCTGACCTCAGGTGATCCACCCGTCTCAGCCTTGCAATGTGCTGGGATTACAGGCATGAGCCACTGCAGCCAGCAGCAATACCAATTTCTATTATACCATATAATCATAACTCCTGTCTTTTTGTCCATTAATTATCTTTCCTTCACTTGTTTAAGCTAAGTCCTTAATTAACTATTAGTAATTACCACTGGTCTGAAAAATTAGACACTTGAATTGCCCAAGTATGTCCAACACAGAATCATACTTACCTAACAAGGCTAGCTTACCCAATGTTTCTGTAACAACTGGACTAACATTTACAGAGTGTTTACCATAAATGTGTGAAATACCAGGAAGAGCAGAAAAAAGGCTAGCAAGCATTAGGCTGACAAGTGGACTACAAAGTAACCTTTGTGAATCAACAGGAGCTGACCTAAATGAGAACATGGGGGGTGGGGGGGCAAGCTTTTGGAATCTAAATTGTATTACTGAAAGTAATATCCAGAGAGTCTTATCTTGCAAAAACACCACCACAAAAAAACTAATACTGAAAAGTTTTTGTTTTTATTTCCAAGATCAAATATTACAACAGGACATTTACATGTATTTATAAAAAAATGCAGCAGTTGAATGTATAGATCAGAGGTTTCCTTGAGTTTGGTCCCTCTCTCAGCACAGTGAGCTGATGTCTTCAGAAGACTTATCGTCCCACTCCCCTCCCTCCCCCACCCCGTTGTCCCCCCCACCCTCCCCGTTTCAAGTTGCAGTATTCATATAAAGCAACTGGGTACAACACAGCAAGAATATTCACAATTTGGTACAGCCCAAACCAGAGGATC